GCACATTCAGATTCAATCTGAGCAATTCAAATTCAATTCCTGCTGGCACAAGATTTATCCCATACTTTCCAACGATATATGTTTTATTACCAAGAAGCATTTTTGCATCAAAKAAATAATCTACCAAACACACRTTTCCTTTTTGTGCTATGTTTATATAGTTGAATTCCCTGATCCAAACCCTTCTCTGTTCATCCCGTCAGATGCGAAGGGGCTCTCCAGCACAACTGAGGTGGAGCTACTTAGAGAAAAGGTCTATGCATCACTGGAAGCTTACTGCAAACAGAAGTATCCAGAGCAGCAGGGAAGGTAAGTGACGAGCTCTAACCGTGCTCAGATGCTTTTTATGTTGAGAAAATAATTTTTAAAAAAAGCTTTATTTCCTCTGCAGGTTTGCTAAGCTCCTCCTCAGACTGCCAGCGCTGCGATCCATCGGCTTGAAGTGCTTGGAGCATCTCTTTTTCTTCAAACTGATCGGTGACACGCCAATCGACACGTTCCTCATGGAAATGCTCGAAGCGCCCCATCAGCTGGCTTAGATTGGAAATGCGCACTGTGGGTGTTTTTTTTTTTTTTTTTTTTTTTTTTAGAAAGCTGGAGTCTGGGAAGTGAGCGTGGGACTGGAGTGGCACTTTAAGTTCTTCTACGATTTGTCAGTTTGTCTCACTGCTGTCTGCGTTACACTTCAGTGCAGCACAGATTTGCTCTTTTAGACCAAACTCAAGGCTTGGCGTGATCTATAAGCTGGTGCTATATGCTGTCATACCTTCACAAGTAACGGTAATAAAAAACAAATGATTATTTTTCAAGACATTTTACATATCCTTCTCACAAAAAAAAAAAGCTATAATTTGGGTACTCATTTTTATATAAACTTTTTAAACTCCGGACTTCATCATCCCTTTTTAATTCTAAAGGGCATCTTGAATTGTGAGCACGCAGTAAAGATGCAAGCTTTTTTTTTTTAAAGATCATTAAAACCAGATCTAATCGTTGTATCAGTCCTGCACAGCAAACCTCCAAACCCCGGGGAACATGACAGATTGAAATTATCTAGCCTCGCTTACCTGTGTTGATTGAGGATCAGCTTTGTGTTTAGTAATTATGATTAGTGTTTACATCCTTTCCCTTCAAAAAAAAGGCCCAATATTTGTGATGTACATTTTCCTAAATTGACTTTAAACACTTGGCCTGTGAGTGGTCAGGAGTTTCTCGTGGTGCTAGCTCAGAAATAATTTGACATTATGGGTGACGTTGCACACCAAACTACAAAATTAAGAATATATGCAAAAAGGAAGAATTCTTTTGTTTAAAATGTAGCAATAGATACAGAAGCCTATCATTAAATTCAGAGGTTTTACTAAGAAAACGGTGTCCAGTGGAAAGGGAACATCCCTTTTTTTATTTTTATTTTTTGTAATTTATACAGTTACTAGGTACTGTGCAAAGGTAATTGTTCAGGGAAAGTGCACATTGACACATTTTGACTAATTATCAGGAAATACAAATGAGATTAAAATGTGCCCCAATAGAATAAAGCAGAATGTGTCTTGGTTGCACTGGATTTACTGAGACAGCTTCAGACAACTTAAAAAAATTATTTCTTTTTAATTTGTCACTCAGTTTGTGCAACGTTTCCCTCCGTTTCATCACARTAAGCTTTCTGCCGTTTATTCAAAGCAAACGTAATCACGTTTCGGTCCACAACACTTGGACATGTGACCGTCTCGATCAAACCCAGATGAAGTTTGTGTGACGTCCACGTGGAACCACGACACGAACGGTATCGGTGTGATTGTCGTCAGCGCTCAACAAAAGTGACTTAAAGTGTGGGGGGTGGGGTGGGGTGGGTGCAAAGAATAAAGCTCATGTTTTGCTTGCTTTTTCTTTCCTCTTAAAGTGTCACATTATTATTTTTCCCCCCCACAGAGAGCAAAGTGTTGCTTTTTGACAACTAATGCAATTGAAGGACGATTAAAAGAAAGTCAAAATGTTTCGACGAGCCTTTTTATTGTAACGTACATAGGTTTTTGCTGTGGGCAGAGGTGCGACAGAAGCCTCGATTGTGTAGCAGTTTGAAGTTCAGATGTGGCACAGGCAGCGGTTTGTAATGGGCTGAAGAGAAAAAGAGAATATGATGTGGTTGCTGGTAAATTTCACTGTTTGAGATCGTTATAAAAAAAACAAAAACAAAGTGCAGATAAGGCTTCCAGCTCCGAAAACCAGTGAWCCTCCCTCTTTGAAGCAGAGGTGACACTTTTAAACCATGCATGGCTGAGTTTTCTTAAATTATAATTAGAATAACACTGCGCTTTAGACTATAATACACAAAAGATTCAAAAGATGTTCATCATTGAACAGCATTCCCTCCACATGTTCCAGTCCAGTCTGGGTCTCCTCAGTTCTCCGGGATGCTACAAGTGTTGAGTCGAAGGTGCTGAATCAGTTCCAGTAAATTCTTACRACTGTAGTGCTGGTGCCATTTAATGCAACTTGAACACGACTTCGCTTCAAATGTTTTTTTTTCTCTCAGTGGCTGTAAGTGTGTCACAGTGAAGCTTTGTTAARGTTTGGTTTGAATCCAGACAGGGCTGATGTGAAGCTGTGYTTCAGCTGCACTAAATGAACCAGAGAGTTAAACATGGGCTCAGTTCACCTCAGTACAGACTCACATCTGGTTGGTTCAAAAAAAAAATCACAAATGAAAAGTTTGTAATTATACAGTACTGTGCAAAAGTCTCGAACCACCTCTCACTTTTTATGTTTGGAGGATTATTATGTGGTTTGTGGGAAAATGATCAGTATATGATATTAACATCTTTTTGTATTTTTTAGCATTCTTGAGTAACGCACTACTCAGAAGAAGTTRGGGATATTTGGCGAGGTTTTGTTGGTGTTAGGCATCATCTTGGTCCCATGATGAGGACTGTTAAAAAAATAGTCTTAATTGAAGCAGGTATTTGTTGATTCATGGATCAAACCAGCAGAGGTCTATAAAGTGCTTGGAAAAAAATTAAGTCAAAAGTAAATATACCCTAACAGAAAATGACTGGTAAAAATGAATGTCACTGATGAGAAAACTACTTRCATMATAAAACTGTTCACAAACATTGGGGAAGTAAAAGTATAAGTACTTTTCCACGCGCTCTAACAAATAAACTGTTAAATTTACAGAACCAAACTGGCTCCACAAAACCACGTTGATTAAATTAGTCACTTTCTTTAAAAAACATGTCTATCGCCTCAAATTTACTCTACCAGGTTTAGTAGAAATAGTTGATATGATTTAGTTGAGTAAAATCAACATAATTTTTTAGAGCACATAAACAACTCCTTTCATGATGAGTTCAGACAGATTTAATTTGTAACAAGCAAGTAGGTGTTAAACTTTAAAGAAGTAAAAGTATCATTTTTAGATTTTAAAAGTAACTAAAAGTAAAAGTCATGATTTAAAAAAATACTTGGTAAAATGACAAATCTTCAAAAAATTACTTAAGTACAGTAACAAAGTAAATGTACTTAGTTACTATCAGTGGCGGATCTAGGATTTTTCTGAGTAAGGGGCCATCAAGGGGCCACAATATCCAGAGGGGCCAAGTCTTCAACATCCTTTCCCTACAAATCGCCAATTTTGGTAAGGTGTATATATTTAACCAGTCATACATGTTCAAACACTTGTAACTTTTTTTTACAAAACGGTACCACTTTATACCATCTCCCTTTATAGATGGCTTTTAAAGAGTTTATAAATAGGTTATTAATTTCAAGAGAAGAATTCTGTCAGCTTGATTCTTTCTGGACTTTTCTATTTGACTCATCAGCGCCACTAGTGTTTGAACATGGAACTGCATCCACCATCATCACTCCCAAGTAAAGGACAGATGAGTGACAGAACTGGGGCACCTCAGGGGCCAATGCCCCTGGTTACTATACACATCTGCAAACCACTTGTGATATTTGTGTTTAGCTCCTTAGAGAAGTGCAAGTTGTGTATTTGTAATAGCATTTTARGTTCATCCTGAAATTTTACCTGAAAGCCAAATATAACCAACGTTCTGTGAGKAGTGTAGTTCTCCAGGCTTCTGGAAGACGAGTTCGAGAAGCTGAGACTAGATAGTTGTGTCCTTCAGTGACGTCAAGGTTCAGGTTCAGACCAAATATACTTTTGTGTGGTTTTCTCTCCAGGTAGGATTTCACGGTGTTCATTCAGGAAAATGAAGCTGGTTTTAGTCACGTCTGGTTAAAGTTAAAACAAGTAGAAAACCACAAAGTAGAACCTTAAAATTACGCCTCTTCTTTGAGGCAAATTAAATGATAGGTGGCTAGGGACTTTTGTACATTATTGTAAAAATGGGTTTACTAGTGGTACCAGTTGAGTTACACATTGATGCCTTTATTATACAGTAAAGCTTTAATAACCAGCTCCTGTTTAACCTTTAATCCTCAACTGTCAAATAGCTCATCTTTATAAAACCAAAACATGGGGAGGCAAAAACAGCTGAGCTGGTTCTAATAAACTTCATGCTCACAGATCACACACCTGTATTAGATATTTGTGATGACATGTCCCTGAAAACATTTTAATAAATAACGGTGTCAGCAAGGCACTCTGATCTGTGCAGCTCATAGACTCTACAAAATAAAACAGATTGCTCACTGCGCCCACCTTGCTCAAAAGTCTAGTTTTTTTTTTCAGCTTTTGAGTGAGAATGGATCAGATAACAATGCTGAACCTTCTGTTTAGGCTTTTAAAAATATATCTACACTGGTAAACTTCTCTCACGATTAGTAAACTAATCTTTTTCCTTGGATTAAACGTGTGAAAAGCTGTCAAACAGCTGCTTAACGAGCAGAGTTTCAGAGTCTTCGGCGTCGAGGAGCTCACCGTCCGACGACGCCCGACGTTTTACATCCAGTGCAATCRTTTTAGCACCTTGAAGCAAGATGAAACACAAAAGAACCGCAGTAGTATAGAACAGAAAAACCCTTCTGCATGAAGCCATCTATGCAATAGATGTGATGTTTCAGCTCCAGCGTGAGGCTGCACACAGTCCGCCACACTTCCTGTCCTCTGGATCCAGTCACGACCGCAAAGGCTGGAACTTTAGTTTCGATGCCCTCATCATTGGTCATATCCCCCCCTCGCCCCACCATCTACCACCCCGGCAAACTTCAACAATAAAAGCCTCGCAAAAACAGTTTTATCTGTTCTTCCAGCAGAAGCGAAGCTCAGTGGTTTGAATGCAGTGCTCGTTTTCTTGCCCAGCAGTTTAGGATTTAAAACTTGGTTTTGTCCTCCCTCTCCGCGGAGGCGTCTAAACCAAACCTGTAAAAGATGAGATCAACTCATCACGTTTGAGGGGGTGGGGCTGTTGTTTCCAGTTTAGAAAGGACTGGGAGGGGGCAGTGAAAGGGTCTACAGGTGTCCTAGAGTTCAGCAGGATCCGGATCCGGCTCACACCTGCATCTCTGAGCCGCTGGACAGACCGAGAGCGTTGGCCTCCTCTGTCGTCAGACCGCTCTTCAGAGTCCTCCTCACTGAAAGAAGAAGAAAAAAAAAGATGATGAGTTTTTGTTGCTACATTCAGCTCGGTGATGAAAAGGTTGAGACTCACGTGATTTCCGATTCGCTCTGGATCGTCTCCTCTCCCGAGGCTGTGTCCGCTGGCCGGGCCCTTGAGTGGCCGAGCGAACGATCCGCTCCATGATCTCGTCGGCCGTGTCGTCTGTGCAGTGGATTGGGTCGTCGCTGACAGAACACCACGGGGCCAGGCGTCCTGCAGCCGTTGGAGCAAAACAAATGTTTCATGCAGTGTGGACAAGACGACGATTGAAGAGAACTTTTTAACAACCTCAGTTTGGAGAAATGGTTCAGTTCTGACTGGACTGAGCAAACAGTCCAACCTGGGCCAAAACCAAAGTGGATCACTGCTGTTTGAAAACATCCATCTTAAAAATGTCAGTGGTTCATGCAAACCCCTTTTACACTGCAGATACTTTCATATTACCTCATTTCCTCCAGGGATAAATAAAGTATAACTTCATGATGAGAGAAATGTTTCTACAGGAAGTACCCTTAGCAAAAAGTAGTATAAGCAAGTATCCAAAGTATACAAGTATACAAAATTTAAACAAAAAACAAGAGTATACTTCCAGTTTAATTTTTATGTACTTATCCGATTTAAGTTTATCAACACTATACTTGGCTTGTACTAAAAATACACTAAGTTTAAGTGTACTTAGTCTATACCAGAGGAGTCCAAAGTGGGGCCCGCGGGCCAAATTTGGCCCACCAAGCCATTTGATTTGGCCCACCAAAAGTTGCCAAAGTTACAAGGTTGTAACCTGTTATCCTATAGGTAGAAACACAGTATTTCCATTGGTCAAATGACTATATA